TATTTATTATTATTTGATTGTCAAATATTCCAACCACTTACTAACAATCAGTATCACAGCTGTAGAGTGCTGAATTCCTAATTTACAGGCAGCAAACTGGGGGAGTTTTCAAATAAATGATTTCTTCCCTTAGAGTTTCTTGTACTCAATATTTATTAGCCTTAGTGGTAAAAATGAAATGGGCCCCATTTGAAGAGAGCAATAACAGAGTGTCATAAATCAAAATTGCATAACAATATTATTCCTATTTATTACTGAAAGCTGGAGCATATGTATTCCAGAAGAAAAAACCAATGCCATCGAAGTCAGTATTACTTTTTTTGTAAATTTATAATAACAGAAAGTTGCAAGTCAGAATGCATTACTTCTTCCTTCTCTTTTTCCTAGGAAGGAACTAGGAAGGGAGCTTGTTTATGGAAGGATGTGGTCTTGATCTATGTATCCTGGTTATAGAGGGCAGGGATCTCCACCCTTGGCAACTTTAAGACTTGTGGACTTCAACTCCCAGCATTCCTCAGCCAGCTGGCTGAGGAATGCTGGGAGTTGAAGCCCACAAGTCTTAAAGTTGCCAAGGTTGGAGACCCCTGATATAGAGTATCAAAGAGAAGCATAACTAGCTGGGACCAGGAAAGTATTAATGATGCTTTTGGTAAAAAAAAGAGACCACTCCGTTGCATTGAAGGAGGTATTGGCATGTTCCATATGAAGAGGACTTACCTAGATCTGCAGTATTTTATAACTATCACCTTTCCTTTCTAGAGAAGGCTATTGAAAAAATACTATGGGTTCAGCTGAAAAATGCCCTAAAGGAAACGAACCAATTGAATCCTTTCCAATCAGGTTCCAGTCTTAGTCCTAGGACAAATCTAGCATTGGTTACTCTAGTACAGGGGTGTGTCACACGTAGGCCACGCCTACCCCAGCTCCACAAAGGGGGGAAAATGTCACGAAATTTCATGTGATGGCAATGTGACATTGTGAGTTTGACACCTATGCTCCAGTAGTTCTAATGATGACCTCCTTACTCATGGCATACTGAAAAGGCATTTAGAGGCAAGATGAGTCTTTAACTAATGTGTCATTGCAACCCTGCCTAAAGAGGGAGACAGAAACATGGATTGCATCACTACTAGTTTATATGTGCACATTTATATACATGCATATGGGTATTTCCCCACGTCATTGTAGTTGTGCTTTTAAAGTTGTAGCAACGTTTCGGCAGAATCTCATCTGCCATCATCAGGCTTCTGTATGATGGCAGATGAGATTCTGCTGAAACATTGCTACAACTTTAAAAGCACAACTACAATGACGTGGGAAAATACCGGAACGAAGCTGAATGCCATACATGTAAGTACCCGCGAAAACTTAAGAATATATATATAGAGATAGATAGATAGATAGATAGATAGATATAGATATAGATATAGATAGATATAGATATAGATATAGATATAGATATAGATATACATACATACATACATACATACATATATATATATATATATATATATATATATATATATATATATATATATAGTTTTGTTTATTATAATAAAATCTAATACAAACTAGAGAGAGAATAGAAAGTAGTAAAGTGCAAGAAAAAAGGAAAGCAAAGTAAAAATATAATAAAGAGAAAAGAAATATAAAAAGAAGTGACTTCCAAACCTTCATCACAGCAATTATAAACAAATTTAGTGACTCCTCACCCTGGGTTACAAATATTTATCTCTTCATTCCATGGCCCATATCCTAGCTGTAAACAAATTCATAAAACGTTGTTATTTTCAATTGTGATCATAAGGAAAGATCATAAGGTTTATCAGAAATAACACATCATGTTTTAACCTGAATAAAGAAGGCAACTTTATGTTCTTTCCTTTCACTTCTAACAGTCTTAAATTCATTCATTTAGTCTTTAGTTCATTCAAATTTTGTTCTAGGGTAAACGCAGTAGGAAAAATTATCCAGATCACTCTCTTGGTTTGCCATTTTTCTTTTAAATTTTAAAACTGTTCAGACAGTTTTTTTAGGGTATTTTTTAGTAGATACGTACAGTAAAACATCATTTTCTAAATCATTTTCTTGGCCTGTCAAGTTGTAAATCCACTTTTGATACCATTTCTATCTTTATGTCATGGATCAACATCTACCCCTGGACCCCTTTCCAGATGCGAGTTCAGAGGAGGAGAGTAAATTTGAGTCTGCAGAGGAAAGCGTGGAGCCAAGTATTGGTCAGGATCGGGGCTCAGAGTGCGCTGGAATCTGGACCTGCACAATAGGAGTGCTTTCCAAGGACCTATTTGCGGGGTTTGAATAAACACCTGTAGAACATTTGCCATACATGTTGGGGAGGGAGTGGGCAGATAAAATTTATTCTACATCTGTCATTTCTGCAATAATATATTTTGTATATTTATAGAGGTATATTCATTACTTATAAATACTGTTACTATTTTCTTTGTATTCTTTAAAAGTATTTGTATTGTTACAATGCTTTGCAACATTTTACAGCTTTATAAATCTTTACCTAAATTTTTTAGTCTTCTCTAGTTTTTTAAATCATGAAATTGCTTATCTTTTATGTATCTTTTAAAAAAATCAAAATAGAATCTGTTTCCAATGAGAAACTGTTCTTTGTAATTAATCCAAAAATGTATTGTAGAAATTTCAATATTCCATTTTTATCTGGTCCTTAATCTGTTAATAACTTTCTAAGTTTAAAATCATATTTAACTTTTTTGCTGTGTATTTCCGAATCCTTAAATTTTTAAGCTTATGATGAAAATGTCCTTTTATTCATGACTGAAGACAGACTTACGTAGCCTTTTCAAACTTGCACTTCCCAAGGTTTCTAGTAATTTAGAAGTAATTAATAAGAAATGTTTGAAAGTGGTTAGAAAGTGAGGATTGTGAACTGAGAGCCTTTCCCAATTTTCTCCATGGTTGCAAGCAAATGGCTAATCCTGTTGTCTCCTGGTGCTTAAACCCACAGAAAGCCAATGTCCTGTAGTCTCTTTGGAAGGAGCAGCCATCCGGTGTACATGTGGATGATCTCCCTTCCTCTTCTTATCTGGAGAGATTCCATGAAACCAGTCTCTTTACTAGTTCCTTGCCTTTTGCTATGACTGTCAGCTGTACTTTCAGAGAGCCACATTCAGTTTACATACCTTTCTCAGAGTACCTTCATCATCACTAGTATAGGTTATTGCTATTCTATATTGGGCTACCTTTCAAAATTGAATGGTGCTTCAATTCAAAACATCAAATCTTGTTTTTGACATTTAAAGCTCTAAATTATTGATATCTATGTACTTGTAATACTCCAGAACCAATATATCCAGATCACTTGCCCAAAATGAATGTTTTAGAATGGTAAGGCGGCTCAGTTCTTAAGACAGGCCTGTCAAATTCCTAGCCCACAAGCCAGATGTGTCATGTACTGGCCACGCCATGCCCGCTTTAGCAAAGGGGGGGAAAGTCCCAATACTTCACATGATGCCGCCGTGACTTTGACATTTCCCTGCCTTAAGAGATGAGATTGGAAGGAGCAATGATGTTTTCCTATGGTGTC